AATCGGAGGTCCTTCCTCACCCCTTTCCTCTCCCTCCACCAAAACCCTTTCCACTCGAGGAACCTCCGCTCGACATTTGCTAAAACTAAACCAGAAAAACAAGTTGTGTGATGTGGAGCAAGACATGGAGCACTATATATAGAGATGAAGGCGGGTTCACCATGAATGCTACTTGACAAAAAACATGTGTGCGTACTCATTTATTGAATCACGCAAAGGCTAGATGCTTCATCCGAAAAGCCTACAACCATGACCGGTCATTTCATCCGAAAAGGCTACACGTGTTTTGTCACTTATTCTAAATGCGAGACATCACTCTGATATTAATTCATTGCGTATATGGATACAACGATGGCAAGAATCTAGGGTTTTTCAAAGAGTTTTCTAATAGACTTGTAGCCCTTTCGGTGGATCAAGCATCTGGTACTTGTAGCCCTTTTCAAGATTTGCAACAATCTTCAAGTGGGGAATGGAGGAGGGAGGGAGAAGAAGAAGAAGGGGCCTCGGCCTAAAGGGACCAGAACCTCGGCGTTGAGTCGGGCCACGCCGAGAAAACGGAGGATCGGCGTTAAGTGACCCAACGCCGAGATTCGGGCCACCGTGCTTTGTTGGGCCGCTCCGGTGGGTCCATTAGCTCGGCGCACAGTCCAGCCGCGCCCGAGGTTGGGCACTTGGCGTCGGCTGACACGACGCCGACATCTCGAACCCACGCGCCACCGTGTCGACGACGACCCCGGTCGTCCGTGACGTGGCAATACCTCGGCGTTGAGTGACACAACACCGAGCCTTATATCTAGGCGTCATGTGCTAAGACGCCTAAAAATGATCTATTTTCAGAAAATATTTTGACGTAGGTATTTTTCTAAAAATTATTTTCAAAAAGACCAAAATACCAAAAATTCACTCGCTCCGCCAGGGTGCCGCTCTCTATCTCAAGGCTGCATGCAATCGCTTGGCCAGGGTGCCTGCTCTCCTCTCAAGGCTACGAGACACAACTGCTGCTGCACCGCCGGTGGAGTGCATGCAGCTGCTTTGCAGGTGAACGGACAGGCTGCCCCATCAAATCACCTGGCCACTAGCCCATGTACGTATTTTATGTATATTTATTCCTTTAGTTGTCACATATTACGTGTTATTGTATATATTTTACTACTATTGTTTGGTTGTAAGTTATGTGTTTAAATAGTGTAAATTGATTATTTATAAATGGGAATGGTCAAAATTACTCCTTTATAAATGGGAATCGTCGCACACGGACACGTGTTGCGTACTTGCGTTTGCATGCATGCTGTCTCTTACTTATGGCTAATGTAGAATGGGAACGAGTAAAGTTTCATAATTCTATTTGCCAATATGTTTATAGGAATTCTTATCACTTATTAGGACCATGCATTGATGCATGCATCCATAAGCACGAGTTCAGAGATTTGTACCAGCAGGCAACGTCAGAGAATCGGCGCAGACGGCCGGTCTGGCAAGTTGCAACCGGGGGGGCCCTGCTGGTTCTCTCTGTTGGCCATTGCCTGACGGAATCAGCAGCACTCGAACCACAAGTACCGTAACAATACGCCCATAATAATAAGCGGCAGGAATCTGAGCCCTTGTTTAGTTGTAGGAATTTGAATTTTGGGACTACTGTAGCATATTCGTTTTTATTTGACAAATAGTGTTCAAATATGGACTAATTAGGCTCAAAACGTTCGTCTCGTAATTTCCCACCAAACTTTGTAATTAGTTTATCTTTTCGTCTACATTTAATGCTCCATGTATGAGCCGCAAACATTCGATGTGACAAGTACTGTAGCAACTTTTTGAAAGTTGGGGTGGAACTAAACGTGAATAACACCAGAACTGTGCTCACTGATGGTCTCAGTCCTGTGGGCCTCGTTCAAGTTGCAAACTAGCAGGTACTAGTACGGTACCTTGCAAAAGTGAATGGGCCGGGGTCATGCATGCATTTGGGCGAAAAGCAACTGGTCCACTTGATATATCCTCATCTGATCTCAGCGTCAGCGGCAAACTCGATGAGCCTGTAGTGGGACTGTGAGAGCTGAGATGAGAGGGACAAACGCGCAAGGCCCCATGTTCACGTGTCACGGGCTCACGGCTGAAGGCTGCATGCAGACTGCTGAATCCTGACCCGTTACTGACGAAAAACGCAAGTACTCCTGTACCTCCACTTCGGCTTTTATTAGGTCTTTGGAGTGAACGGGCCGAGCCAGGCACGATGCCCGTTCCTTTTCGGCCCTGAGAATGTTATGGCCGTCCTCATATATCCGGGCCTTTTGGACACGCACGAACAGACCCCCGTGGGCTGACAACAGAGATGCTACTACCCCATGGGCCGTCGGCTACCCAAACCAGGGGAAAAAAAAAGTCCACATTAACTCCCTCAATTTTTTAGGAAGTCTGTTTTTCCTCCTCCGTGAACTTTTAAAACCGTTCGATTACCTCTCTGGCCGGTTATAAGCGGTTTTTAAACACGGTTTTGTCTTTTTCTTTTTTATTTATTTCGGCTGAATCTTTGAAAAATTATAGTAAATCAAAGAAAAATCATAAAATAGAAAATTCAATTTTATTAGACTCCGCATGAGTAGATCCACACAGTGAACATATAATATACTATGTTTTAGTACAAATTTTTTGTTGTAGCTTTAGATCTATGTTTTTCTATAATTAATTCATAGTTGCAGTTTATATGGTCCAATTGTGGTGAAATTTTTATGATGGTATAGTTATTGCATGATTAAACTGTAAGTAAAAAGGATAACGTATAACTTAGTTATAGACTCATTGGAACAACAGACTAGATTTTTCTTCTTAAAAAAAACAAAGAAAGAAAGAGTTCGCCAAGCCGAAGCCGAGTTCACGGCCCCTCACGGCCGCACGTCTCCTGTACGGCTGTATGGTATGTACAAAAAAAATGTACAGCCATCGCTCTCCCCCTCACCGGGTCACGGCTCACACGCTCTCCCCTTTTTCTTCTTGTTCGTCATGGACTCGGAAAGCCAGGGGTCCGTGTCCATCTATCCGCTCTTTACCCAAGAGATGTCGCCCATGGGCTGAGGCTCCGGCCCCAGGCTTTAGCACCCAATCGCCCAAGGAATTTGTTCGAACCAACCACCCGCTGGCCAAAAGAAAGAAAAAAAACTAACGAATATGTTCAGTCGGTCGGTAAGAACGAATGATACCAACCAATTGGCTAATTGCAATGCAATGCAATGCACAACTAGACTAAACGGTTGTGAAATATACGGACTCCAGCTTATAAAAAAAAAGAAAAAAAGAAGACATTCTAATTCTAGCTCGTTTGTACGTGAATTGGAAAAGAAAAGGAAAGAGAAGGAATTCTAATCCTAGTCTATTTCTTATCAACCTCTTAGACTTTGACAAAACTATATATACATGTTGGAGCTCTATGTATAATTATCAATAGTTTTCCTATCTTATCTTTATGTGTCTTCTAATCTCATCTACCTTGATCACGTACGACGTGTTTCACGACACAAACCGCCATCGCGCAAACAATAATAATATCGACATCGCAAGTGGCCCCTCGCTACCTGCCACCGAAGACAGACATCCGACCGTGATTCCGTGACCTGAATTCGAGCAGAGCCTCCGGCGGACAACCAGATAAGACGGGCGGGCCGGCACGTAGGCAGCCGGCCAGCCGCGCGCGGGAATGGACGTGCTGCGCCCGCAGCCGCAGCTCCTGCACGTAGCCGTGGCCGGGCACGCTCTGGCCGTGGTGGAGCGCGACAGCACGAGCGACCCGGCCACCGGCCGCGTCCTCACGGGCTCCTGGCTGTGGGACTCGTCCCTGGTCCTGGCCGCCCACCTCGCCGCGGACTCCCGCGCCAGGCGCCGCCTCCTTGGCGCCACCGTCGTGGAGCTCGGCGCGGGAAGCACGGGGCTCCCGGGCATCGCGGCCGTGGCCTGCCTCGGTGCCGCGCGCTGCGTGCTCACGGACGTGGCCTCGCTGCTGCCGGGTCTCAGGGCCAACGCGGACGCCAACGGGCTCAGCGCCGCGCGGGCCGACGTGCGGGAGCTCAGGTGGGGAGATCGCCTCCAGCTCGAGGAGGAGGAGAGGGTGGGCGTCGTGCTGTTGTCCGACGTGTTCTATGACCCCGAGGACATGCCGGCGATGGCAGCCACGCTGCGGGGGATGTGGACGGACGAGGACGAGGACGAGGACGGGGAGGGCGGCGGCGGCGGCACCGTGGGGTGGGCGGCGAGCGAGGTGCGGGACAGCGTGCTGGACTGCATGGACGTGCTGCGGGAGCATGGCTTTGAGGTGGCCGAGGTCGACAGGGTCACCCGGCCGCTGCTGCACCATCCCGGACAGACTGCCGCCTTCGCCGTCTATCGCGTCTCGCTCCGACAAGGCAATTTTCTCAATAATGAGAGGGGAGCTGACTTTGGTTGATCGCCAAACTGCTAGTAGAATGTACACGTGTCACCTTTGACTTTGACGTTGCCTGTGCAGTAAGTCATTTTCACTTTTCATTTTTCTTTGTTGTGTACACTTGTGTATTTGTATATGGCAACTTGTACAACTTGCCCATTCAATTTTCTGCAATTTGTAGTTCCAATTCATTCTTTGTTCCAACTATATATCCAGTCTTTCCTTTCACGTACTTGTATATGCAATTGCCATGAACACGGGTCGACAAGGAATGAAGAGGCATTGCAAATTTACAAGCGTGCAAGCCTGTGGACATGGCCGAGCACGACGGCAGTTTACACTGTCGCACAATTTGTAGTAAGAGAATTTACAGTTGCAAAGGGCTGCTACAACATATGTTTTCAGTTTTCTTCATCATCTGCTGGCTTTTCACTATTCACCACGGCAAAATTCACAGCCCCTATGTTCTAAGGAGCAAAGGGAAAAGAACCCACGTTTCCCAATCCACGTTTTCTGAAGTATTTGTCTAACCAACCCGATCTTTCGACTTCCAGATGTACACTCTAATCAGGACTTGTTTTGTTTTATGAAACTATAATAGCCCTCGAGAACGTGAAAACCGATCTGCAAGGTTCGCGATAACAAAGCCTGAAAATACCTGCGAAGGAACAAAGCTCACAGGGTTAAACAGAATGACAAATGTATGCAACAGTGAGCTGAACGGTGAAGAGGAACACATAATTGAACATGGTGATGCAAATAACGAGTTAAGAACACAAGGCTCAGTCAGAACAAAACCTTCAAAGCATTCAAATTGGTTGCTGTCGTAAGATGGTAGATATTTGACATAAGTCAAGCTAAAAAAAATACTGAGCTGCTGGATAGTCGTACCTGGACAGAACCAAGAATATATACTGCTGAATAGTGACGGCCGTGAATGATCATATCAGCAACCATTGCTAGTGGAATTGTGAGAGACATGCCTAGGGTGGCCACCAAGGGAGTAGTCCAAACAACAGAAAGAGCCCTGACCAAAAGTTCCACTGTCAGAATTACCCTGAGTATGCAGTAATAATAATATAAAAATATATTAGCCTTCTTTAACACGTACCAGAAGTAGTCTGATAGTACACTTCCGATTAGGCTATTTGCCACCACCACTTCATCCACTTTAGCTGAGTGGGGCATCGAAAACTTTGGCTCAATGCCTAGTGCGGTTAATGGCCAGACTGAGATATAGACACAATAACGACAATTTTTTACATCAACCAACCATGAAAGACATGCACAATTAAGAAGTTTCCAAAATGTGGTTATATATTTCGAATTTGTACTTTTGTTATATTAATTTGGAAAAGGGAAATAAAATATTACCAATCCACCAGAGAGCAACAAGGGTAAAAAGTCCAAGATAACCAAACAGTTTTTGGACATCAACCTTTTTTCCTTCCTCTCCACAGAATTTTTTAAGCAGCACTGAAATAATATTGAAACAATTAAGGGCTGAATTCATAGAGATCAACTGCAAATAAGGCAAAGTAAAACAACCTACCAGTAAATAGACCATAGGCGATTGCTGACATAAGACCAAACATATCACCTAGAAGAGTCCTCTGTGTATCACTGCAATTGTAAAACTTACATATCAGTAGCAAGGAATACAGTTGAAAAAAGGAATGAATTTCCATCCCCAAAATCAAATTTTGTTTTTGTCTCATGTTCATCACTATCAAGTCATGCGAATATAAAAATGAAACACTCAATGTTTTGAGTTGTTTTAAACACAAAAAAGAAGTGAAGCCAACTAACTGAACACTACTTGTTGTAAGCAAGACCAAGGATTTTTGAAGAACAGTAAAATAAGTCCAATGTCGTCATCATGCAGTCATGAACCATTGTGATTATCAGAGTATAAAAGAGTAAAGGCCAACAAGTAATAAATCACTCACCCAGATTTGCCTACTTCTGATTCATCAGATGCCCAAGTCTGGCCCATAGTTGTCATTACAACGCCAGCCATGCTAATGAAAACAGCAATCACTTTCGCAGCATTTATGGAGTCTTGGCCAAGTAAAACACCAATGAAAAGAGTGAAGAGTCCTGAAGTTGAAGACAGTACGGTGGTACTGGCAACACTAGTTCTTGCAAGCGCTGCATTCGATAAATACTGCATTCATTCAGCGTAAGAGAAAAATGAGTTACCTTTACCTATCAAAGTATTGCTTTTACGATTGAAATTTAGGATTTCAGGAACATATGTCAAATAATTTTTGAGAAACATATGTCAATAGTTATTCACATGAACATTTCAAGTTCCCTGGAATTACAAATTAACATGCAAAGTCATTGTGAAATTACCTCTGTCACAAACCATAAGGGGCAAAGATACAATCCATAAGTTGCAATCTCCTTAGTGGAAAGTTGCTTGTCCTTCAAAACGCCATCATTCATTTCAGTGATTCCGTATATGAGTGGTTTTGTCTCTTCTACTACAGGAATGCTCACATCAGTGCAATTTATCATTATAGTTTTCTGTGATTCCATTTCCAACACCTTCTGAAATTCACCATTCTTCAAAGGGGCACTACCACCAAAGGAAGATTTGCTTGCAATTTTTAAAGCACTAGTGTTTCCAGAATGCCGTCTCATTGAATTGTATATGAAGTCTTTTAGAAATGACAAAGGGAGATATATGACCATAAGGGAGGCCCCCAAGTAAGTAATTGCAAACGGATGTTTGTACTTTGTGAATATCCCCTGCACAAGAAATTTAGTTACAAAATGAAAAATTAATATATTCCGCAAGATGGACTTTACAAAGATTAAAAAAAAGAATCAAGAACTAGAAGCCGAGGCGTTTGTGTTTTGCAGCCATTGGAGGTGACGAAAATCTACTACCAGTAACCTCTAATTCTACCATCGGTATCTCCTTTAATCATGTATTGTAGGTGATCAAGCATATCACAACCACCCCCAGTCAGCCACAGATGAACTGTGACAACCACCACATGATTATACTTTGACATAGTTTACATGAACAAGCTAGCACTCAAGACTGACGACAGGCAGGTACAAGTCGTTAAACCATTAACAGCAGATTTGACGGATATCCATATGAGCACACATACGTGCAATTTTGGGGGCATTAGCTCCAAACTTATATATACAGTAGAAGGCAAAAGAATTGACTTTTCTTTGCTTTTTTAATGGTACAAATAAAATCCAGTGGTGAAGCCTCGGCTGGATTCAGAATGATGCCAGATGTTCTTTTAAGACAGAAATGACGACAGATGCATAACATTCCCCTGAGAAATTTTCTACCCTGCGCGTAACGTTTAAAAATGAGTCGAGATGCAGAACAAAACCCCCCAAGGCGGTCCGGTTCAACAAAAATAATCTGATAAGCACAGAGCATTTACGCCCGAAACGAAACGAACCAAACCAATCCGATAAGCAAGCATGCATCCCAAGCCAAGATCCAAGAACCTCCAATCCAATCAAAATAAACAAGTAAACAGAGGAGAACGCAAAAAGATTACAGAATCCACACCGCACCTGCGTGACCTCGGCGGAGAGGACCCAAATCAGCACGACGGCGACGATGAGGCAGAGGCCAGCTCGGTACTTGAGGCTGGAGCCCATGTCCACAGGCAGTCAGGCAGCCCTTGCTCTAGCACTGAAAACTACGGCGAGAAGGGCGGGCGGACAATTTAAAACCGCGCGCTACCTCACCTCACCACCTCGCCTGGCCCCGGGGCGGCGGGCACACGCGTGCGGTGCGCGAGCCCCGTCGCCTCGGCATCCGCCTCGCTTCCCTCCTCACAGAAAGAGCGGGGAGGGGAAGCGGCGCGGCGCGGGGCGGAGGAGGAGGGGAAGCGGCGGTTTTTGGCCCGGAGGGAGGGAGGCGTGGGCGGGGTGGGGCGGGGGTAAAGCCAGCCGGGGTTGACCTACCCACGGAAGTTTCTACTATTTTGGTGGTGGTCACCCCGAGGCCTGGCGCGCGCGGGCGCGGGCGCGACCGGAGAGGCGGAGCGGTCCGGGGAGGGACGATGCGCTGGCGCTGGCCTGGCCGCCTGCGTGGTGGATTCGGCGTCAAGCAACGGGGAAACGAAGCGAGGCGTGGGGTGGGGTGCTGGCGCGGCCGTGCGCGTGGAAGGCTAGCTTGCGGTGTGCGGGTGCACGCGCCGGTGGCAGAGGTGGTGGCGGACGCCGGACGGCGAGTTTGGGTGGGAAGCAGCAAAGCAGGTGCGCGCGCGCGGCATGGGGAGGTATTTCCGTATTTGGCTCTGGCTGGCGGGCGCTGGACGCAGCGCTGGTGGTGGCGCTCGGGTTCGGACGGGTGTTGCTGTCCCGGCGGATGCGGAGCGGAGGGAACTCCCGGTCGTTCTCGGTCTCGGTCACATCGCACAAAATACTCCTGCCGTGTGGGGACGCCGGGGCAAGTTTTGGTTGGCCTCGGTCTCTCGCCGTGGCTCGGCGTGATGGGATTGGATGGAAACCCACCGATTCGCTTGCTATTCTGCCGTGCCGGAGTGGAAGTCTTTTACCTGTGCGTCATTAGAAAAAAGTTTATAATTATACATAAACTATTAAAAAAAGTTGAATATACACAGATGTCACTGCTCTAAACTTCTTTGTCTTACGAGCCATTCCGTCCAAATATAACGCTAACTGTGGCTAACGGATGGGAGAAAAAGACAAGCATGTCCTCTGAAAGAAGAGTCTATCTAAAAACGGTGTTGGTCTCCTCTACCATTCTCACTCCTAGCATTTTGGCGCCAATCTGATGAGGCTTTGGCGCCAATATGATGGGTCATTGACGTCAAAAACTCTTTTGGATGGCTCCTATAAATAGACAGCACTGAGGTCCCTACCCCACTCAGTTCCCTCTCCATCGCTCTCTCTCTTCTTAAAGGTCTCTACTGCCATGTCTAAAGCTTCAAGCGCCTTTAGGAGTAGAGGGTAAGGCGGATTCTTTGCCCCAACTGCGGTGTGCTTGTCAATCGGTTCACATCAATGACCACCGGCAACATGCGCCATGTCTTCCACAAGTGTCCCTACTTTTTAGTTTGTGTTGCTAATTTGCTTTTTATTTGGCTCTAGAATGTTGGTTTCCGCTGTTTGGTTCATAATCTAGTGTTGCTTTGGTTTTCAGGTTGGAGGTTGTCAGCACTATCAGTGGGGGGGTAAAATGGGGGAGACTAGTGTACAGATAGTGGCTCCTACAACACCTTTTGTCTCCTGTTCCTCTTCAGGCAGTGCCAGCACCAGCTATTATCCCTACTCCCACTCCAATTGCTCTCATCCAGAAAGGTGGTCAGGCTGGTGGAGTAGTAGTGCAAGATAGGGTTATGCAGCAGCTTAGATGGATTAAGAAGCTGGTCTTTGTTGCCATCTTCCTTGCCTTGTATGTAATTATGAAGTATTGTCCTATGTATATGTGTGTGTCATTGTGTTTGTATGCTTGAATCAATGAATGAATGAGTCAATGATGGATGGATGGATGCAGTCCAGAAATATAAAATTCTTAGATTGTTCATTCACCAACATGCAAACCTTAATACATTACAAACATAAGTAGTGCTCATGGTTCATATTGTTCACCAACATGTAAACCATAAACCACAATTTTATCTAACACCAGTAGTTTGTCCAGAGCAAGTACCATAAACTACATGTCCTGATCATGCAAAATATTACAGCTCCATTACATGGTGGAGTCACCTTTGTTCATTCAAGCAGCAGTTGCTTCTTGCTTCTGGTATTTGCAGCTGGGCTGGAAGGGTCAGCTGGAGCCTTGCTGCTTGTTCCCCTAGCTAGAGTGGCAGACACATCTTTCCTTGGTGTAAGCTTCTTCTTCAATTCAATCTTCTTCTTTGGTGTATGACTGTAGCAGTTGAAACTTCCTGTGGCTCATGCTGAACTGTAGCATCTTCATTATAAGGGGCAAGGTGCACAACTTGGATAGGAATTGGTTCATTGGATCCAATTCCAGATCTTGTGGTACATGAAACATGAAGTTTAGTGTGGGCTGTTGGCATTGCAAAAAAATTAGAAAAAAATAGAGAAGTGACATACCTGCTAGAGAAAGGAGGAGTAGTAGAGACTGAAGTACTTGTTGCTGCTCCCTTAAATTTGGAGACAGATGATAAAGATGATTTTCTCTTTCTTTTCTTGTGTACAGCATTCTCCACTGCTCATTGAGAGGGAACACCATCCATGTAGCCACAACAATGCTTGTCTCTATGTTAGTTTTAGCTACTTTTTTCTGCCGCTTCTTTGGCAGACCCATGTAAGTGAAATTTTAGTTATGTTAGATTATTTAATGTAGTTCATATCATATATGAATAAATATAACTAAGAGAAGTTCACCTGTCAACCTCCATTGCAGCTATGTCTGATGGACTTCCATTCTTGCAGGTGCACCAGTGGTGCCCTAACTCATGGCATATTGGACACTCATGTCTCTTTGATTTCTTCTGCTACCTCCTGCAACTGCCCCTTCTGTACCTATTATTTCTTCTACCAGCTGTGGACTTAAGCAAGGGAGGATGCATGAAGAATCCATGTGTGGCATCAGGCCACATAGACTTGTCAGGAATGGATGGGATGGCACCTTCATATGTAGCTTTGAATTTGGCCACAAAATAGCATTCATCCACATGGTCTTCTAGCTTTTCACCAGATATAGATGTTATATAGGCAATTGCATGCTTGCATGGTATTCCTGACCCTTGCCAAGCCCTGCAGGAATATGTCATGTTTCTTAAGTCAACAATAAATCTGAATCCAGACCCCCTTAGCACAAACTTGAGCAACTCCATCATGTTCTGTGATGACCTCAATGTCTAGGTTGAAGCTACCTTCCCTCAGCTGCCGCATAACATGAGGTAGAATCTTTTCTATAAACTTCCTTACCACCTTCCTCATTGGATGGGTTTGGGTTAGCCAGTTATTCATCATCTGCAGTTCACTCTGGGTATGGCTTGGTTGTGCAATGCTAGGACAAGGCAGTGAAGAGGTGAAGGAGTTCTCAACAGACTACCAAGAACTGCTAAAATCCCAAGGAGAAAATTCAGGAGGCTCAGTACTGGGGCTGTGGTAAGCAAAAGTTAGGAAGCAGCACTTGGAAGCATTATGTTTTGCAAACATGTCAAGCAAATCTTGGTCGGTGCAAACTTGAATGTTCATCTGTCTCTCAATGCAGAAGTAAAACAATCTTACAATATCCCCATAATCAGAAGGATACTTATTTTCAACTTCATCAACCAGATCTACGAAGTTGGTACGATCAGCATCGACGACTTTGTTCAAGCTAAACCACTGAGCACGAGTATGATGAGCAATTATCCGGATTTTTAGGTTGTAGCTACTAGTAGGGTCCATCCTATAGATGAACAACATCGAGTTCATATGCATCGATCTATCTAAAATCACAGTATATCCCAACCACGACTACTACACCTAACTAACAACAATCATAGGGACCAAGCAAACGAAGAGGAAAAAACCCTAGAAATAGTACCCACCCGTCAGGAAGCTAGGGAGGTCGGTCGCCCGCGCGCCCCCCTTGTTCGTGGCCATGCACCGCCAATCTGGAGGATCCACGGTCTCTTCCTTCATGTCTCCTCTTCCTTGCTCCACTACCTCCCATTCCACGCCGCAAGCACGGGGGATTGGAGGGTTCTTCTCTCTCCGCGCCAGCACATAGCGAGGCGGATTGTCTTCTCTCTCCCGCCCGGCCTTGCAAAAGACGGGTATTGACTTCTTCCCTCCCGCCGCCGCCGCCGCCGCAGCTGCCGGTACAGTCGCCGCTAGGGTTTGGGGGAAGAGGACTCGAGCGAGATGGGGAGAGTGAGAGACTGAGGTGGCAGTCAATCGTAATCAACACGGTATCCACCTCTTCTCTGTACGTCAAGGACAAGCCGGTAAGATAAAGAAGTTTAGAGCAGTATGTGTGTGGCTAACTTTTTTAATAGCTTATGTGTAATTATAAATATTTTTTAACGAGACACCTGGTAAAAGCCTCGTAGTCGGTGCTGAAATGCTGATTGACTGATGGTGCGGGACCGCTGTGGTTTTTGTGTTTTTCGGGACGTTGGTCACGCCGTTGAGACATGAGAGAGCCTCCGAGAGTGCTGGCCGTGCAGGTGTAGACGTAGGTCAGCTGAGTAGCTGACAATAACTAACAGACTAATTAACCGCGTTACTGCCGATCGGTGTAGTAGTTTGCACGGTACGCTGCAGGAGCGTTGAAACTGAGCTGAGATTATTTGCGATCGTTTTCACGGGGAAAAGTACAGTACACGTCAGTGTTTTTTTAGTCTTTCAACAAGCCGTGACTTGGAAAGGCCTGCAAAGATGACAAACGATCCGCGGGTAATATAACTGACAAACGATCGTGCATGATTTACTGATGAAACGCGGATAGTGACTTCGTGTGAACTTATTAGCAGGCGGGTTGAAGAAGCTCGTAGTGCAAGGATCATTTGAGACGTAGACCCCTGCATTTTCCTTTCGGCCGCAAAACGACATTGTATGTTTCAGCCGGCTGTTCTTTTTACAAATTTAGTACTCGGTATCTTCGTTGGTTGGTTTCTGGCTGATAAGCTCGACTAGTGCTGGTTTGTTGTGAGAGGAAA